TGTACCATCTTATAATCCCTAGATTGTAACGCTCTGTACTTATGGTGGTGCACTTTGTGTGTCGTGTGCCTTTAACATACATATCACAACAAACTGGGGACAGTCAACGTGTTGGTTCCTTTATACTTGTTTCACGTTAGTTGATGGTCAGATTTTAGCTGCTTTCGTCTCTAGAGTGTCAAGCAGACTCATCACAATGAATTGGATTTCAGCTCCTCGATTAGCCTGACATGTAGCGCCTTCACCAGCTAAACGGCATCAGACCTCACTGTGTTGGGTTGAAGCACCACGGAGGGGCAACTCACGCAACCTTGTCAGGCTACTCCTCGATGGATGTGGTGTGGCTGTACTTGTTACCAAACATTGCTCACAAAACGAATGGCGACATAGTAAGAATTTAGGATTTTTGAAGAACTCTAAACAGATGGAGCAATTATGAAATCCCAATTTCACGTAAATTGTATTCTGATGCTATGACCATGGCAAGAGAGATGCTTTAATAGCTTGTTATTCATGATTCATTTTCTGTACGCTTTAGTGAAGGGCGACATTAGTGTTGAAAAACATTGACTTTCCAACAATCCAATGCGCTTTTCCAATGGAAATATGAGTATGTGTTTTAACCAAGGCCCAATGTACACTAATTACCGCCGGTGATCCCTTCCATACCTTCCAATCACTAAAGAAATTACATTGTTAAGGCTTAGTAACGTCTCAGTTTATACTCGGGGGTTCAAGCTACCACGAAATGAGTTGATATTTCTGCCACTTTGTGTGTACTTTCTAATACATCCTTTACCTTACACAGTCACATAAACTCTCTTAGTGAATGAAATAATTGCAATGCCACACCGATTCTTGATTTCAGTGCTTCTAAAATTTCTTAAGAACTTTCCATTTCCATCATCTACAACTACTAGTTTTCTATTGTAATCTAACACAAAGTACTCATTATCATCTGAAATGTTAACATCATGTAGGGTAAATGGCTTTTTAAAATGACTCGCAAATAAAAGTGATTGTTTATAATTCCCGTCACTGTCGTGGACCATTTTTAGTTTCGGCTAGTCCTCAAAGACTATGAGTTGTTCTTTCTGTCTTCTTTTTTTGTCGACTACTTGCACCAATCCTCTGATGATAGAGATATGGGAAGGTGAGTCTTTAGTTTCCCTTCTTTCTTTCCTGTTATCATCACTAGTCCCAGGATGAATCAGAGAAGCTCGTCTTTACTCTGATATCTTAAAGTGGAATGATTTTTTTATCTCTGGAATCTCTAATTGTGACATACAGGTTAACAGACATGCCTTTCATAAGTTCCTATGGTATGTTTTCAACTGTACATTTAGGTGGACATGCATTAAATTGCATCACTTCTATTAATGTATGCATGTCGGAACCATCATGTTGATGAAACTGACAGATTAATATTTAATGTTTTGGTCAGTAGTAAATGGGTTTTAAAAAAATGTGAGCAGTTGGGGCAGACGCCATATAAAATTGACGCGAACAGACGATGGCGTACAATCAGTAGTATGACTAGCAATAAATATATTTATAAAAATGTAATTATGAATTTACTTTTATCTATAAAGTGTAACAAAGTATTTTTTACTGTAAATGAACTTTCATTTTATTTCCTGTAACCTGTACCAGCTATTCCCCTTTGCCCCCACCGTACTGACATTTTATCTTTAAAGTGAATTACGCTCTCTATGGTAAATGTGATCAAAATATAATGCAATTCCGCATGTAAATCAGTAACACCAAACAGATGACGAACACATCAGAGATTGGTGCTGTTTAATTCATTCCAGGTAATAATAATAATAAAAACAGAGTTACAATGCGAGTTGGTCGGTCTGAAGCCTTAGAATTGAATCTGATATGCGACTACACACAGTCACTCTACTAGGAGAGTGACTGTGGAGACATAATATTTTCAGTTTATGATCACAAGTTATAATCCGGTTAATATATAAAAATATTAAAATTAAATTGCTGTTTTAGAGATATTACCAAATTACAAAGCGTAAAATTGTAAAAAAATCCTTACTTAAAGCGGGAGGGTCGACACCTGCACATGCGCGGTAATTGAGTCCCAAGCGACGATAACAACACACGCTAAAAACACAAAGGCTCATAGGTAGACGTTTGTTTGTAAACAATGACACGCTATGGCCAACTGACGCACGCGCAGGGTACGATTCTCCCGCTTTAAAACACATTCAAATATCGTAAAAAACAAAGATATTTTATTACGTGATGGCTTCCCCAGAGTGGCTTGAAGGTTCGGTAACGTTATTTTGGCAGAAACATATACAGTTGTAATAAACATAAATATATATTCCATGCACACTATTTAACATTCAGTTTTATATTTTACGCAGCAAGCATCCAGTGATGACTGGCATATGTCTTCACTCTACAAACACTTTGATGCAATTATTGCCGTTTTCTACTACGGCTATTCTCCCATCATTACATACTACTACACCAAATGGATAACTTAGTCCATCTTTATCACTATCAATCCTACAAATAAACTGACCATATGTGTCATATTTAACGACCTTGTGTTCACTACTTACGTATACATAGTCATTTTTATCTATAGCCACTCCCCGGGGGTGTGAAATTCTACTGTTACCAGTGGAAGAGAACTCAAACAGAAACTGATCCATGGAGCCGAAAACCTGAATACGGTCATTGTCTCTATCCGCCACATATACCACCCCTTTACTATTGCAAGCTAAATAGAATGGCTTTCTAAATTGACCCTGTTTAGTCCCTCTTCTTCCAAATGAGTTAATATATCTACCACTATGTGTATATTTCCTAATACAATCCTTGTTCTTCTCACTCACGTACACATGCTTGGTAACTGGATTAATTGCAATACCACATGGACAATCTATTTCTACGCTTCCAAAACACCTAATAAACTTTCCATTATCTTCACTCACAACTACATGTCTGTTATTATCATCTAACATGAACATTTTGTCATCTGATATTGCGATATCACATGGTCTGAATGGCTTGACAAACTGACCAGTAAATGTAAATGACTGTTTGTAATGTCCATCTCTGTCATGGATGCTGACACTATTGGCCCCTCCGTTAGCTGTGACAAAGTCTCCATGTTTATTTACTGTTAGTCCCCAAGGAAGTCGTAAACGTCCTTCTTGTTTACCCACTGTCTGCACAAGGCCACTGATGACTGCAATTTCAAATGGTGATCCTGGTATTTGCTCGCTCCCAATCGTCGTAGAAACTAGAAGCTTTCCTTCTCTATTCCCAAAAATCTGCACACTACTCGTACCATTGTAATTGTTGCTAAAATCGATATCTTCCCATGTTGCATCATTGAGCATTTTCATCTTCACCTTGACTTCTTGGCAAGGAATGGTTGGATTTCCTTTGGAATCTCTAGTTGTGAGAAGCAGGTTGACAGCATCACCTTTGAAGAGTTGATGTGGAATGTTTTCAACTGTACATTTGGATAGACAGGCGTCATATTTAATTATTCCTACCATTGAATGTGTTACAAATTCATCTCCTTTCTGAAACTCCACAACATCATATTTCATTGGTGGTTTGGTTTCCATAGTAACTATGTCTTTAATTTGTTTAGCGGTTTCCTGCCTAGTGGACAGTAGGTGAACAGAGTTCTCAAGATTCATCAGTGATTTCACATGATCATGAGTGCCGACTACGTTGCTGTGGTTACTTTCTATTTCATCATATCTTCTTCTACAACTTCCAGATCTTTTCTGAAACTTTCATCCAAAGTAGCAAGAGTCGTCCTTCTTCTCTCCTTAATGTGGCTATCATAAATTCCACTCTTCTCATAACTTTAGTTTTTTCTGTCTTGCTCTGTCTTTTGATTTCGTCTTTCGTGCCTTTGGCAGTTTTGATCCTCCACTCAAGTTCCAATTCTTTGTCTTTCATCTGCCACAACTGTTCTCTTAGCTGAATTTTATATTTCTCTACCACCTCCTGCAAGTCCATGTGGACGTGTTCAGGAGCTCTGTGTTTTACTACCGTACAGTCATAGCATATAGGTATCTGACAAGTGTCACAGTAAAACTTTAATGTGTTTGCTTCATGTTCATTGCAGACAGTTCCTGAACGTACCAACTGTTGATCTTTTGATTCTGTCTCTCTGTACTTATCAATGGTGAGCACTTTGTGCATTTGGAGAGCTGTATGAGCTTTAACACATACATCACAACAAAACTGTGGGCAATTTATGCACCTATGAGTTGCTGGTCTCTTTTCACATGTCTCACACATTAGCGAATGGTCGGCTATTAACTCCTTTTTTTTCTGGAATGCATGTAGTATTTCTGTCATACTGAAGTTGAACTTTAGATCCTGGATGGGAATGTCACAAGGAACTCTGCATGTTGCACAGCTCAAAACACCCCCAGATTTGGCCTTAAAATCCACCAGACATTGCTCACAGAATGTATGAAGACATGGTAGGACTTTAGGTTCTTTGTAGAACTCGAGACAGATGGAACAACTGAAGAAATCCTCGCTGATTTCATCGAAAACAGCCTCAGCAGATTTGGTACCTGTAGCCATGGTGGAAAGCAATTCATAGGCTGTAAATGACTCCCTAGGGTGGTTAAATTCAAACATTTCATTTCCTGTTTAGAATGCAGCTTATGAGGTCCGTCAAGATATCTTGCTTTTTACGCTTACCCTAGGTGGTATATCATGCACAAGAAGCAAACATTCTTATTTGGTTGGCTCACCTTTAAAAAAACGTTTCAAGAGCATACAATAAAAGTAATGACAATTTGTTATTTATATATTGATTTAGGAGTCACTATAACATGTTTTATGACCTACTGCTAAGAAACAATGGCATTCTGTAACGTATACACACATAAATTAGCAATATTAAACATTTGATCTTTGGACTCCACGATGCTACATGTTGCAGATTTGTTATGGTTTTTTTAAAACAAATATTTGTTAATTTTGTACAAATTGACATAATTTGCTATTATAGTAATTTGCTGTAAAAATCCCCAAAATTATGCAGGATTATGCAAAGTTGACTTTGGCAATTAAATGGTTAAAACGTAATAATTAGAAACATTTAATACCCAACTCCTATCCTGGGGTGACATATTTACGGAAATTGTAGTTTGAAATCGCGGAGGAAGGCTGTACTCTCTGTACAAACAACCTAAGGTATTACTGATTTCCTTATTCATACTTCCGGCTTACAACATGGTACATGTTTGCAGAGGGATTACGGCAGTTTCGTTCACGTTAGTCGGGACCCACTTAGGACCGACTCGGCTCGTGCCGAAATCACGCCCTCAGTAGTCGATCTGGAAAACGATACGCATAAGATGATAATAATAAGTGCTATACTGAAATTATATCAATTTGTTGTTATGGTAATTATTATGAGTCATTGCACACATAAACGGCAAAGAAGATTCGATAAACAATTTTTGTTCACGTCAATGTAGCATTGCAAGAAAATAGCGGTTGCAGCAGCACATAAATATGCGTCGCTGACGACATTTTGCATTCATTTCATCCGACCATATATATCTGCATTTCCCTTCATCGTCATTTCATACCAGCATTTATGAATCGGCATATGATCTTTAAATTAAATTCACCACCAAGGGCGTGACTTCGGCTCGTGCCGAGCGTTCAGGCAGATGATCTCGGCACGAG